AGATGACAGAGTGTGTTTCTGTTATTTTCTCTACCAAGAGATCATTGACGACAAATCAGGCAAACATGATATGGTGTGTGGCATGAACAGCCTTGGTAGGTATTGTTTACCCAGGTGTATAACTTGTTGTACCAAGCCTTGGAATACTTTGAAAACAATGCTAAGGATTGTCACTTGTATTTAAATCAGGATTTTGTCAATGCTGGAAATGGTAGATCAATAATATGTATGCATTATTCATAAACAGTTCTTAATCACTGAGGACATCAACCCAGCAGTATTTAATCACTGAGGACCATCAACCCCACAGTATTAATCATTGGGGACCATCAAACCCCAGCAGTATTGAATCACTGAGGACCATCAACCCCAGCAGTATTAATCACTGAGGACCATCAAACCCCAGCAGTATTAATCACTGAGGACCATCAACCCCACAGTATTAATCACTGAGGACCATCAAACCCCAGCAGTATTAATCACTGAAGACCATCAACCCCACAGTATTAATCACTGAGGACATCAACCCCAGCAGTATTTATCACTCAGCACATCAACCCCAGCAGTATTTATCACTGAGGACATCAACCCAGCAGTATTTATCACTGAGGATATCAACCCAAGCAGTATTTAATCATTGAGGACCATCAAACCCAAGCAGTATTTAATCATTGAGGACCATCAACCCCACAGTATTAATCACCGAGGACCATCAAACCTAGTAGTGTTTAATCACTGAGGAACATTAATCCCACAGTATTGATCACTGAGGACCATCAAACCTCAGCAGTGTTAATCATTGAGGACCATCAAACCCCAGCAGTATTAATCACTGAGGACCATCAAACCCCAGTAGTCTTGATCACTGAGGACCATCAACCCCCACAGTATGAATCACTGAGGACCATGAACCCCAGCAGTATTATTCATTGAGGACATCAACCCCAGCAGTATTATTCATTGAGGACATCAACCCCAGCAGTATTATTCATTGAGGACATCAACCCAACTGTATTAATTATTGAGGACTATCGACCCCCAGTGGTATTGATCATTGAGGATCATCAACCCCCAGAATTATGAATCATTGAGGAGCATCAACCCCCAGCAGTATGAATCATTGAGGACCATCAACCCCAGCAGTATTTAATCATTGAGGACCATCAACCCCACAGAGTCAATCATTAAGGACTTTATCATCTGCCGTTGTGCCTGCTACATACATATATATATAATGAAACACAAACACTCTTCCATGATGAAAATAAAAATGTGCTGGCAAGACTACATCAAACCTATTTACTTTATCTGATCAATATGCTTGGTATGTGTAATGTATTAGATTCTGAGGGAAGAACTTCATTTATCACATAACACTCATGATTCACTTTTGAATTAAGCAAATATGCACAGAATCATGTTTCATAAGATTGTTGTAAGGATACTAGTACATTATTTTTTTCATCAGCTGTGCTAATTGTTCTCATGAGGTGAACATAACAGTTGCACTTGCTGCATGCATTCATGCATTCTGTAAAAATGTGGTTTACACTATTACATAAGACATTATTGATGTTATGATAAACTAGAAGGTGTAATCCGGGACGATATGCTGGTATGTTATGACCTATAAAACTGTAGCATAGTTACAGAGAATGGAATAGGGTAACACATTTATTGGTGTACTGTCTTTACAACTCATCATGATCGAGAGAAATATTAACTACCCATGAAGGTACAGGTTAGAATTGGTCTTCAGCAACCAATGCTTGTAAGAGGTGACTAGCGTAATCAGGAGGTCAGGCTCAATGACTTGGTGGATGCATGTCACTGTATCCCAGTTGCGTAGACGATGCTCATGATGTCAATCCCTTGATTATTTACAGACCGCCACCATATAGCTGGAATATTGCAGAGTGCAGTCTTAAACAAAAATAAACACAACAAAAGGAAATATTTACTGAGCTCTCCTGGGTGTATTACCTTTACTGTGGAACACCAGATAGTCCAGATTTTACAAGGCGTGCATTATTAACAGTGTATTAGCATGTTGTTGCATCATAAATCTATCAGTCCCACTTCACAATTTTTATGGGCGGTCGGGTAGCCTAGTGGTTAAAGTGTAAAGCGGCGTAAAACCTCACTCACTCACTCACTCACTCACTCACTCACTCACTCACTCACAATTTTTAGATGAAATTTCTGCTTGAACTGATTGTCCCTACTTGGGCATGGAACTATGCCGACAAATGAGAACCAGAAATCTGAATCTTTGATGGCACAAAACATCTCCTTGACAGGGCTCTGATGTCAAATGTTTCTGACATTTACTTCCCATGTATGCATTGACAGTAGTTTTTAAAAGACTTAAAAGATAAAGGTTTTGAGTAATTGCTTTTATTATCTGAAATGTATATGTTATTGGGTTTTTTTATGTAACTTTGTTATTGTGAGCATAATAGCTGCATTTATTTCTCAGTTGAAATATTTTGTACCTTGTAGTTGAACATTACGTTATACCGGAGAACTGTAAATGTTAAGGGCATCTGGTTCACTTGACAATACAGTTTATTAAATGAATGGCAGATTATATGCAGGAATGGCAGGGCTATTTTGTACACACATTTCGAATGTGAAGTATGTGTTTTGGATTCTTTGAGAAGTAAAAGGGAAATATCTATAGTGAATGTGTATTTTAAACCTTAAAAGAATGCTATTTAACAAAATGGAGATTCAGCTTCAGATGCTGATCAAATACACAAAGCTCTTTCCTGCCCAAATTCTGTAAATAAGCTGCTGTTTGAAACTTCAGAATATCGACTTCATAATACTGCTTATCTCGTTGCTCCAGAATGTAAAAAAATATACTAAAAACACACTGTTTAAGACAATAATTTTATTATTATAAACTATTCATGCATGAATTTTTTTAGATAGAAATATTTCAATTCTTGCTGTCATCTCAACAGGGCTTGAGTCTCTGGCTATGTTTTGGACAACAGTTTTATTCACTACATATTCAAAACCATTTGCTATAAATATGAGCAGTCTATTGACATCCGTCTGTGGCCCAGTCGTCTAAGGCGCTACAATTTCCTGTGCACAGTTGCATCCCTTTGGCATGCCAGAATCCTGATTCTGGGTTCGAATCCTGGTTCATCCCAATTATGTTTCTTGGTTTGTCAGTACCATACTCATTCTCATGGGTTTCACCAAAGTGGTCTAAGACCTGCACCATTCAAGGTTTCCAAACACATTAAACTGACAGGCCATGATAATAATGTTATAGTGTTCAAAGTGGCGTCAAACCGACCTCACTCGCTCTGTGTGTCTCCTAAATGAAAGAAAGGGGTTAGTAGCTATTGTCGTCAGAATTAAAGATGATAGATTGAATATCAAATTGACAATGATTTGGTATTTTGACATGACATTCCTGATGAAGTAAACCTTTAATAATGTATCTTGTCTGTCTAGAAATATCCACTGATCACTTCAACAAGTAAATTAATAAGAAATTAGCCTTTCCGTGCAAATGTCACAATTTTAATAAATTGCTTCTTGGCTGTTTTTACTTCTCTATTACTGATATCCAATAGGTAGTAGGTTCATGTAGGTTAAGGAGCCATTTGGTATTATAACCAGATGATATTTTCACTATTTGATAGTGAATCATTAACATATAATGCTAATGATTTAGACAGAATCATACACTGAGTCGTTATGATTATGAAAAGCTTATGGAATATACGTCAAAATCATATAATATTTCTTTTTAGAAAAATTCTAATTCACTAAGGAATGACAGGTTGAAATGGCTTTACCATCATTCTTCTTAATATATACTAATCAAAAGATTCTACCATATTACTACAGTTAACCATGCCGTGACAGATAAATGATAGTAATATGAGGTGTTATTTTACTTCTTTTGAGTAGTATATATGTAGCTATGGTACGGTAGTTTGAGGAGGTCAGTTAGTGAATGTGTATAGGCCTTGTCAAGAGGATGTCATATGTACACCAATTGAGCAACAGCTGATCCAAAGAATCAAACCAATGTTCAAAGGAGAAGAATTGTCTGCATGACTCTAGAGTCATACTTTGTGAACAAGAAACATTTGGGTGGGGTGTGACAAGGAGATACATCAGTTGCCATTGCTTTAACCATATAAATCACCTTGTCAATCACTCAGAACAATCAGGGCATAAGTAAAGTCATGTTCATAAAAGGACTGATTGCATATGTCAAAAGCAAACATTATCTCTAGCTTTCACTTTATTAGTGTTTAGCAGTTTTGATTTGTTTTCAGATACTGGATTTCATTCTTTCAATTTTAGGTATTTTTTGCATCTTTGTACCAGAAAAATTTAATTTGTTGTCAAATGGATGTTTTTGGTATGATGCCAAAAAGCTGGAAGAAAAATAAAAATATTAAATAAATGTTGTCCATCTTGATTTGAGGTTTATTACATTAAAAAGCTCGTGAAAGAGAAATTTCACAAACATACAAATAAACAGAAGTTTAAAGAAAATATATTTTCAGTATATTAATTATTGTTTTCTCGTATTTTTGTAAGACAAAAGGATTGACTGCAGAACAACAACAAAATATTTCTTTGGACATAAGTTTACTGTTTGTATTAAATCTAGAAATGTGAGTCATGATCTTTTATAAGCTTGTTTTATGGGCATGACAGATTACACGAGACAGAAACATATTAACAAGAATAGTTGTTTTTGATCATGCATACATACATATTTCTAACTACATATGACTAGAGCATAGTTACAGGAGACACAGAAGAATCTCTTGGTAAGAATCTCTTGCCTGTTTTATGTCAGTTGGTTTTAATTTGTTTGTTTCAAGACGACTATTTTGACATGTGTGCTGCAGTATAAACAAACCACTCTTGCCTCCACGTTGAGAGGAGAGCTTCATTCCCTAGAGGTAATGTGGTGTGTAATTAACCTAATCAAAATACTTTGTTGTGAATTTCAGGTTGGGAACCGCAGGTGTACATGACTTGGAGCAGACTGGATTAAGGAGTGCATGTTCGGAAACCGTGTAGGCAATGATATGGACCAAATTACTCAGATAACTCTCCGCTCAAAGTAATCCTCCAGCTTGTCAGAGAAAATCTGGGATTGAATGACAGACAGAAGGAGTGATATGAACAGAAGCTGATCAAATGCCAGGTGTATCAACGTACAACTTGACTACAAGGATTTGAATACAGTTCACAGTCAGGAAGGCGTTTCATCCCTCATTTTGAACATACGAATACAGAAGTATTTCATAACCTCTTTTCAAAAGTCATTTTGTTATAAGACATACTTTTTTTAGTCATGCGATTACAAGTATACGCAAAAATAGTTTAACAGTAGGTATTTTTTACTGTGAATGTACTTGTCAAGTGAATTATGGGATTGTTAAGGACTGTGAAGTACAATGTGATTGTTTGACTACATTCTGTATTCTGGGATATAAAAGACTTGGACATTTATGAGACTTGTGACTGACACCGTGGTGGATCTTTGATTTGGATACAGTGTGAATAACAACATTGGAGAACATTACAAAGAGAAGACATTATTCAACGAGGTGAGAGAATGTTTTTGTAATCCACCCCATAAATTAAAAAAAGTGTTTTGCTTTAATTGCTTTTTGAAGTTTAACGTTTGTAGTTGTGTAGATATGAAAAGATTTACAGTGAATTATCTGCACACAGCATATATCGGTGTGAAGTGTTGCTCGGTGTGAGTGAAATGTTGTTGTTGTTATTATTATGTACAGATTATAAATGCAGAAAAGAGGGTTTGCGTGATCCTGGCACAATCAGGCTGGTTAGGCTCATGATCAGCTCAGCTCAGCCCAGCTAGCCCAGACAGAGAATGGGACTTCTCCCAGGAAGCCCTGCCTTGTCAAACCCATCAAGGACAATTCAGAGAGTGTGAAGACTCCCCAACACTGCAGCCTTCTGCATTACCTAGATTATCAGAAGGGCTGTATTCCTGGCAGCAACCCCGGGTACTCTCCCAGTGTCAGTCAACTGATTGGGAGGTACCAAAGGCACCATGAACAATTGGGACAACTTGGTACTTGGGATGCAAGTGTGACATTTTGAAAGCAAGTTCCGCATATTTGCCATGTTTTTTCTGAATCTCGTCAATCATATTAGTGTTAAAAGGGACAGAATATTTAATGACATAACAACTGCATTGGATTATCAAAAAGGACAATTGCACATAAACTCGATGCAGTGGTCGTTCAGATAGCTTCTCCTTGAAAAACTGAGTCTGGACCGACTTGATATGGCACTTCACTTGGTTGACACTCATTTCCGTACCGTCCAGCAGTACAGAACCATCAACAAAATCAACACCGACATTGAGATTATGTCCCACATCATGGGCTCAGTTAAGAAAACTTTGGCATATCATGAGTCATGATGATGATATTATTGAAATATGGATTAAATATTGTATGTTCAATTTGATTGCTTGTTTTAATTATCAAGCAGATGGTTATACTGTCCAAAAAATTGGAAAGGAACACTTTTCTACGTCCTAAGGAAGTGATCACCTTGACACGTAGTCTCTTCATTACACAGATGTCGGAACTAACTGCCAGTCTATTGATTGCCACACTGTTAACTGTAACACAGTTATTATCTAGGCTTGACTTTAATTAAGCCTTGCATACATATTGCTGCTTATACATCTAAGCTGCCGAGTGATACCTCATTTCCTATTTCATGGATTTCATAAGTTCTTGTGAGTCAGTGTCCTATAACACCTTGTCAGCTGACATTATCCACTTCAGTTGCCATGTTGGTAAAATACCAGCTTGGCTCATTTGTCAACCATTTATTCCTGTGATCATTCATTAGTGTCGCTATTGATAACATAATATGGTAATTAAGTTTATTTTGTGGAAATATGTAATAGGATATTTGTGAAGTTTGATATTGTACACTGACATGGCCTTTGATCTTAACACATATATAGCCCTTAAAGTTGACACCTGAGATCTCCTCATCGGCAACATTCTGTGATTGTCTTGTCCCCGGGTGTGTGTAGATCAGTATCAATTTTCCGTCCAGTATGAAATTTTAATGCCATTTCAGCTGCAATGTTTAAAATGCAGTGATAGAAATGTATTGTGAAAGATGCTGAAGCATCACTTTGGGATATAAGTGTTCCTACGAGAAGGGTATCTTTTGTCTATCTTCATAAATGGTGAATGTTGTTCCACCAAGTGATATGTACATTGTAGATGATGAGCAGTAGTAATCTGGATATTTTGCTCTTTCATCTTCATGGAGATTGCTAAAAAGAATTCAATTTCTGAATCTTTCATTGAACGTATTGGTATGTAAATATTGTCAAAGTTCATGGAGATAACTCTTGATAGAGACCATTCTTTCAATAACTTTATATAATAAACGTCATCAGGGTGTATTGTTTTTAAGTGTGCTCTTCAGGCCCCAGGAATGTATTTTACATGCCACTGTCACTGTAAGAAAGGAAATTCAACCCTGAAATACCTTCAGCAAATTATACATATCCATGTGTAATTGTATCTACAGCATTCTGTTGTGTAGAAAATGTAATAAATTTTCGTGAAGTTTTATCTTGGCCTTTGTATAAATTTTATTATCTTATTTCTACTTACTTGGGGGGCGCAGGTGGCCCAGTCATATAAGGCGCCGCGATTCGCTGTGCAGAGTTGCGTCCCTTGGGCACGCCAGAAATCTATGATTGCGGGTTCGTATCCCGGTTCGCCCCGATTATGTTTCTAGGTTTGTCAGCACCATACCCATGCTCATGGGTTTCACTGAAGTGGTAAATGTCAGAGACCTGCATCACTTCGGGCTTTCCTCCCACATTAAGCTGACATGCCGCGATATAACTGGAATACTGATAAAAACAGCGTTAAACCCAACTCCCCCTCTTTGCTTACTTGATCTGTAATGGTGTAAGCATTCCAGTAGAAGTAAGGTGTTCTACAAAACCTTATAGCTCTATGATTTTAAATAATAATAAGGTTGATGTTGGTAGTCAGACTGAGCTGAGCATATCTATGCAAAACCTTCTTGTTCATATTAAGGTAGATTGGGGCAGGGGAGCTGCTGTGGGAGGCATGTTGCCAAAAATGAAAGTGATGAAGGTAGCGGTATTAAGTAATCGAACTCCAGCTGGTGCGAAACTGTTAATATTGGTAAGCAAGAGGTATTATGGCCTGAGCCTTGGGAATTCAGGAAAAGGCAGAGAAGTGTCCACATATTGCATGTGTTTTACGCCCAATGGAATCTGTTTCGGCAGATAATCGAAACTGATTATTCTCTGGTGTTGGCGTTTTCAATTTTAGAATATTTTGCTCCTGAATCATTAACTGGTTGTTTGGAACACACAATACGTTCTCAATATTTGGCTTGCATGATACAAAAATAAAGAGAAAAAACAATGTCATGTCAAACCTTCAAAAAGTTAATTTCAAGGATGGGTAAAAAAAATTAATTTTCCCTTTTTGGCAGTCTTAACTGTTTAAACGTCATGGATGTGGAAATAGAGCTTGGAAGGTGCCATTGAGTCATGTTTATGTTCAACAACTGACGTAATTAAAGTGGCGTTCTGTTTCAGAATCCTATTTGTAATGCTAATGATCTGTTTACAACTTCAGAATGTATACCACGTTGTTGGTAATACTACAGGGACCCAAATGGCATCATTATCTCAGTTTGGTGATTTATCATGACATATAATTGACTCTACACCCTGGGGAGAATACAGTATTTATCATTATTACCGAGGTCGGAATCAAAGTTGACTTTTCCGGCCCATCCTTATGTTAAGTATTTTGGGATTGCCAAAATGTGTAGCCAATATACAACATTTTAATTAAATTAAGTATATATCTATGACACTTTTAGCAATATTCCAGCTGTGATATTCCTGTGATATACAGTTGAGACTTTTATCGCAATTTAATTACTTACCGAAATTATATGTTAAAGCATTGATGATTTATACAAGTTCTTGAATGTCTGTGACTGTCATCTACAAAGATTTGAGAAGAAGTGTGTTAATGAATAATCGTCAAAGACATGTACATACAAATTAAGACAGTGATGGGATCAGCTATGTTTGTGTTTGTTCTTTAATCTAGGGCAAAAATGATTGTTAAAAAGTAATTCTTGAAAAAGTAGCAATAGTGAAAATAATTTGGTATGTGTATAAATTAATCTGTCTCTATTGTGCAACATCAAACACTGCCTGATGAGATCAGTCCTCATACTGTAAAGGTCACTGTTACTGAATTAAACACCTGAATGAGGAAAATATTGTGTACAAGGCTTTGATGATAGTTTTATATGCCCTTTCTTCTTAAATCTGAGTAGGTGAAGGTCATGACAACTTCATAACATGGTGTACCAAGGAGTAAAATGCCATTCCTGCTTGCATTCTTTGCATTTTAGCCTGAGAAAGAAGGTTAGGGTAGCTCAATGGATACATTGTTTGCTTGTCACACTTAACACTAGGGTTTGATTCCCACATGTGTACTGTATGTAACAGCCATTGATGGTGTGATTGCTATAGTGGTGCTGAATACTGGTTTAGATTAACCATGACTCTGTTATCTGTGTTGGGCTTTTCAACACTAGAGTTGGTTGGGTGAGACCGATGGAAGGAATCTCTTTGTTATTATATAGTTGATCTTGATCACTTCATAAATGAAAATGAGAAAACTTTGAAACCGATAATGAAAAAGATGGTATCACAGAGGTGTAGAAGTTAACCTTCACACTCACTCCCGACATTGAACTCCTTCACTTGTTTAACATTTTGAATGAATGAGTAATAATAGCATGTTTACCTAAAGTAACAGCAACATAAGTGAAAGATTTTCTTTTTCAATTTGGACCAGACCAAAATCTTTTTTGATGACTAATGCTATCCTTGATTGTAAATAAGCTCTTTTTAACATAATTTGTTCTGTATATATAGGATATCTCTTCTTCCAGTAATTACTACAAATCAACCATGACGATATTTAGAATTTGTTATTTTGCCAATATTCTGCCTCCTGGCATAGTCACCTAGAAAAAACAAGAAATTAAATGAAGGCTTAAAAAGCAATAAACATCTGCTCTCAAACACAGGACCAATGAGTCCAGGAAGTCAAAATCAGTATTACACAAGTATGGGGGAAACGGGTGGCCCAGTCCTCTAAGGCGCCATGATTTGTTGTGCAGAGTTGCACCCCTTGGGCATGATTGAAACTCATGATCATGATTTCAAATCCTGGTTTGCCCAAATTATGTTTCTTTGTTTGTCAGCACCATACCCGGGCTATTTAGTTTTACCTAAGTTGAAACCATCTAAAACCTGCATCTCTTGTGGCCTTTCTCCCACAATACTAATAGTGAGTGAGTTGGGTTTAATGCCGCTTTTAACAGTATTCCAGTTATATCATGGCATTTCAGCTTAATGTGGGAGGAAAGCCGCAAGTGATGCAGGTCTCAGATGTTTACCACTTCGGTGAAACCCACGAGCACGGGTATGGTGCTGACAAGCCTAGAAACATAATCGGGGTGAACCGGGATTCGAACCCACAATCATAGATTTCTGGCATGCCCAAGGGACGCAACTCTGCACAGCGAATCGGGGCGCCTTAGACGACCCGTGCCCCCCCTCACTCACTAATACAGATACAATTATTGTTATACCTTATGTGGTGTTCTTGCTGTGTTACACGTGGTCATATATTGTGAATTCAAGTGAAGAGTGTAAAACAATATCCACTGCCATAGCATAGTCTGTCATACAGACCCTGAAATAAATATCCATGCATGTTCATGATAGTCGGCAAGTCTAGATTACTGCAGTCTGAAAATGAAGAAAGTCTCTGGGCTCCTTTTTATTATATTTATCAAAATAATTGAACAACTTCATTTTTTGTAAAATATTTTCAGAGACTAGATGTGAGTCTGGACTTGTACTTAATCAATTGGTTCAACCTCGGTCAGGCTTCTACACTATAAACCATGTGTGCAGTGAGAGCTTCTGATGTGTGAAGGAAGTAAAAAAATAATAGGTTGCCGCCACTGAAATTACCCATTATATCAGAATAGCACTGATTAAAATGAAACAGGTTGTATTGACTGAGAGGCAGTAGTTGCATGTCAGCCATGAAGAGGTGATGTGTTGTGCTCGCCTAAAGACACAGAGCAGTGGAGAAGGTCAGCTAGGTTATTCCAAGAGCAGGTGCTGGTAAAGAAGTGTTACAATTGTCTACTTCAAATGTAGTTGCCACTTATGAAGTTGTAATACTGTTGAAAATTTGGACACTATAGTATTATGGATGGTACTTTCAGAAGGGCAGTTATATTGATTTTCTGGTACTTGAGATTGAATGTATATGGTCATTTGTCAGTGTGTATTTGAGGATTTAGTGAAAGTTGTGTTGAAATAGCCTCCTTGTTGCATGTGTTAAATGTGTCTGATTTATCATTATCATAAGGTCAGTTAGATATTCTACTTACTGTACATCAAACATTAACATGAAATGCACAATGAGTCAGAGTACACTGTGAGTTGAAATTGTGTTTAATTTGGTGCTTTAGTGTTTAGAAATGTGAAGTGTATTGTAGCTGTATCCTACAAAAGTCCTTGAATTCATTGTTCTGTTCTTTATTAGAGCGTTTCTGTTTTATGGAGGGCACAGTTAGCTCAGTCATCTTATGCGCCGCATTTGTAGAGTTGCGTCCCTAGGGCATGCCAGAAACCTATGATTGCTGGTTTGAATCCCGGTTCACCCCGATGATGTTTCTAGGTTTGTCATACCATACCTGTGCTCGTGGGTTCACCAGAGTGGTAAACGTCTGAGACCTGCATCACTCGGGGCTTTCCTCCCACATTAAGCTGACACGCCATGAGTAATGTTTATTATAGTCTCACATGTTATATACACTTCATACTAAAACAGGGGCGGTCGGGTAGCCTAGTGGTTAAAGCGTTCACTCGTCACCCCGAAGACCTGGGTTCGATTCCCGACATGGGTACAATGTATGAAACCCATTTCTGGTGTCCCCCGACGTGATATTGCAGGATTATTGCTAAAAGCGGCGTAAAATCATACTCACTCACTCACTCACTCATACTAAAACACATACACAAACAATAAAATATAACATCCGACCAGGTATGGACTACGAGACACGAGGTATAACGTCATATATTGTAGAGAGAACCCTGCTGTAGTCAAGCTGGCCTTCTGATTCATTTTTCATTTGTTGCTAAATGGTATGGGCCAGACTGTCCAGTAGAGCTGATACAGTGGGCAGCATCTGTCATCATACTCCACCGTCATCCACTGTCTGGTTTTGCGCCCAGCCAATAGCTGAAACAGTTTATAATGAAGTTGTACATAGCTGTGTGCATGCATGATGTCTCATGAAGGTCAGTGTTATCAGATCAAAGGTAGCCATCTTCCTGAGGCAAGGGAGTTAACTGACTCGAAAAGTCCAGTTACCACTCTTGGGGAACTGGGCTGGAATTTCTGGGCTTGATAGTACCACCACCAGTGGCTATTACGAGATATGTCCCTTCTATGTCCCTCCTACTGACTAATCAGTTTCCACCTCTCATATCACTTGCATTTGCTTCCAACAAAATGGCGGCACCCAGTCAAGATGATCTGATCGATGATCAAGATATAAATTGTAATAAAAACGTGTCTTACCTCGCTAAGTGCATTAAATCATGTGAGCACCTTGATTAAAAACATGAACAGATTGTGAAAATAGTAAAAATTGATTTTGCCAAGTAGTCAGTATGACTCTTTTGCAAATCCTGCAGTAGACCAAAATCCATGTTGTTTATGAACCAGATGTCGATTTCTTTATGTGATTTTGATTGGACTATGCATAGACCAGCCAAAATGCAACTCCATAATTGCAGCCTATTTTGGCAAGGGTGGAAACTGGAATTTTTACAGTCAGGTATCCCTTGCCTCAGGAAGATGGCTAAATGCAGGCAAACAAGTTTTGATCATTATTAGCAAGGTGCCGGGTTATATTATGTTGATTTCCACTTTTCAAAGACTGGTATCTTGATGGTTTAGCACAGACAAATAAAGATGGCCATGAGATCTTTTAGTGGTTCTTCACTGAAGAATGTTGAATTTGAAAGCCACACAGTTTGGTCAATATTGAGGTAGTCAAAAGTAATATTTTCCATGTGAAAGAGTGGCTAAAACTATTGATAGATGAAGACCAATTTCAATTTAGAAATCTTATGTAAAACAGCCAAATTGGCCAGTATTGGGTTATGCACAGTTGAGATGGAATTTGAAAGGATTTCTAATTCTTGCTTCCTTTCAGATCTTTGAGATAAAATGCACCTAAGATGGAGATTTGACGGTCACAATAATAGTAGAGGGGTCAATACTTTAAAATAACAACTCATGACTGTGCACCCAGCTGGGTTAGTGCGTAATTGTGTATGTACACATTCAAATGTTCACTCCTACTGGTTTGTCTGCTTCATTTTACGCTATTTACCCTCTCACTGGCTGTGGTTGTATGCCTCAGACACTGATGGTATCAAGTCTGATTTATCTTCTCACTGGCTGTGCTTATTCACCTCCGACACTGATGGTATGAAACCCCATTTATTTTCTCATTGGCTGTGCTTATACACCTCTGACACTGATGGTATGAAACCCCATTTATCTTCTCATTGACTGTGCTTATGCACCTCCAACACTGATGGTATAAAAGCCAAATAACCTTTACACTGGCTGTGCTTATACACCTCCAACACTGATGGTATAAAACCCCATTTATCTTCTCATTGACTGTGCTTATACACCTCCGACACTGAGGGTATGAAACCCCATTTATCTTCTCATTGGCTGTGCTTATACACCTCCAACACTGATGGTATAAAACCCGATTTACCCTCTCTATACACCTCCAACACTGATGGTATAAAAGCCGAATAACCTTTACACTGGCTGTGCTTATACACCTCCAACACTGATGGTATAAAAGCCGAATAACCTTTACACTGGCTGTGCTTATACACCTCCAACACTGATGGTATAAAACCCCATTTATCTTCTCATTGACTGTGCTTATACACCTCCGACACTGAGGGTATGAAACCCCATTTATCTTCTCATTGGCTGTGCTTATACACCTCCAACACTGATGGTATGAAACCCCATTTATTTTCTCATTGACTGTGCTTATACACCTCCGACACTGATGGTATGAAACCCCATTTATCTTCTCATTGACTGTGCTTATACACCTCCAACACTGATGGTATGAATCCCCTATTTACCCTCTCACTGGCTGTGCTTATACACCTCCAACACTGATGGTATGAAACCCCATTTATTTTCTCATTGACTGTGCTTATACACCTCCGACACTGATGGTATGAAACCCCATTTATCTTCTCATTGACTGTGCTTATACACCTCCAACACTGATGGTATGAATCCCCATTTACCTTCTCGCTGGCTGTGCTTATACACCTCCGTCACTGATGGTATAAAACCCCATTTACCCTCTCACTGGCTGTGCTTATACACCTCCGACACTGATGGTATAAAACCCCATTTAGCCTCTCACTGGCTGTGCTTATACACCTCCAAAACTGATGGTATGAAACCTGATTTACCCTCTCACTGGCTGTGCTTATACACCTCCAACACTGATGGTATAAAACCCCATTTACCCTCTCACTGGCTGTGCTTATACACCTCCGACACTGATGGTATAAAACCCCATTTAGCCTCTCACTGGCTGTGCTTATACACCTCCAAAACTGATGGTATGAAACCTGATTTACCCTCTCACTGGCTGTGCTTATACACCTCCAACACTGATGGTATAAAACCCCATTTACCTTCTCACTGGCTGTGCTTATACACCTCCAACACTGATGGTATAAAACCTGATTTACCCTCTCACTGGCTGTGCTTATACACCTCCGACACTGATGGTGTAAAACCCCATTTACCCTCTCACTGGCTGTGCTTATACACCTCCGACACTGATGGTGTAAAACCCCATTTACCCTCTCATTGGCTGTGCTTATACTCTGAGCTGCATCAATCTGATGTTGATGATGTTGTAATATATGTAATCTCTTTTTCAGAACTGAAATGTGACAAAGTAATCCGGGTCAAGTGACAATCTTTGGATACTTCTTACTACAATCTGACCTGCTGTGGGATTTTACCAGTGGTCTGATGAGTGTTGACCGCCAAAGATGAGGTTTGAGGCCGGTCAGCCAAAGAGTAGCATCTGCCGGGCGTGGCAGGTGATCAGTTCACTATATTGTCGTCTACTACAGCTCATCGTCTTCCTCGTCATCTCTGTGGCACTCTCAGGTAGGTGGCAGCAATTACATCATGTCCAAAGAATGGGTACTGATGTTTACCAAATCAACTGAATATTGACAGTTAGGACCAATTTTCCAGCTGGATGTTATCACAGGAACAAGGTTGATATCAAACATCTGAATGGAAACATCATTTGTGCTCATATCTACTTCATGACCTTAAATAGAAATTATCAAATATAGTTTTGTTTTTGGTAATATTATCTAATCCCGGTGCAGAAACCAGGGTAGTACTCCTGTAACCGTTCACCTTCTCCCTCCAAGAATCGACTAAGATAAGAAATAGCTGGTCTTGATGACTACTAAATACAAACAAGAGAAGAAGGTTCAGTTGTCATTGTTTTGCTTGCATCTATTGTAACTGAGCGTTGCCCAGTCGTGAAAGGTGCTGCAATTCTCTGTGCAGAGTTGTGTCCCCTAGGCATGCCAAAATCCTGTGATCGTGGATTCAGATCCGAACAATTATGTTGAATCTGCTGTATAACGTATGTATGTATTTGAAGTGAATGATGAATATTGGTCTTATTCCACAAAGAGATCGATCTTACAAAACATTTATCGTATCTCACATACTTTTACAATGACTTACGATAGTCGTAGTACTCTGTAACGATCCCTTGGTGGAAAGCTATCGTATGAAATTCTCGTAACTCCCATACTTTGACTCGACTTACGTTAGTCTTAGTGCTAAGATCACTTGGTGGAACCATGTCAAGGGTCTCATTCTACAGCAATATTAGTGATACTACATGCATAAGTCCATATTATGGATGTAAGCATGGGATTTATGATAGGTGTTGTGCTAACAGTGATGAGTGAAATAAAACCAAGTGGATTCAAGTGGTGGTATCTCCAACACTGTAGGCTGTACATACAACCTACAGATACCTAATCTGTTTCCTGTGGGACCAGTAACCAACCTTTACCTTCATGATATGCAAGCAGAAAATATACCATGCTCACATAAGTCTGATGATAGCTGGACATTGATAGCAAATGTGATACTGTGGTCTGAACTGTACTGCAGTTTTCTCTGAAGTTGTTTTTATGCTCTACTACTAGACCACAGAGGCGGTCGTATTTGGTTGAGATGAAAGTCAACAAACCAACGTTTCATTTATTTTAATTTTAAATGAGAAATTTCACCTATAAAAATGTACTCAACCATGACGCACTAGAAGTAAGTTCATTTGTACTTTTATAATGAAAATTTTAATTGAAGTTTCTAAAATCTGTAAATAGCTTGTGATGAAATTCCAAAACATGTACAAAATATTTAACACTACATGTATATAATAGGTACAATACAATGAGTATTGTGCTGCTGGAAAAACACAACAATATTAATACATGCTCTGTTTTCCCACTTACATATATATCAGACAAACATTTTGTGATAAACGCTATAATTGGTGGGGATGTCACACCTGTTGTTCAATAATTGAAGCACAATACCCAGCACTGCATTTATTACATCTGCTTAAGGTCCCAATTTCATATTCTATTTGCCATTATCAACCAGTCATATTTCAACAAGCTGTCATGAGCTCTACACGTAATGGGCAAATACTTGAACTGAAATTAACATTTATTTTAGTTTTCAAAGTAAAAATAGAATATCACCTGAAATTATTCTAATCAAGTATTATTTAGTGTTGACTGTTTGGCAATATTTTGGATATTTTTGTTATTTAAGTATCCAGAATTATTATGCTCATGATATTGACAGAGGATATGCATATAAATTAAATGTAATGTATAACACATGATGATATAGCCTTCCTGTTATTGTGTATGAGGTGTGACGTAGATCGTTACACACCTGGTAAGTATTAGTTTCTCATTTGTAACAATTGATGGCAGATAATTATTATGGTCCTGTTCGGATGAACAAAACCTTCCAAATGACGTGCTGGTTTTCTTGGGGGAATTAGTCAGCAAAGAGCTGGAGTCACAGGAGAATAATCACAATTTTATTTACAAGAACAATGAACAATTTACATTATCTTAGAAAATAGCTGAGGGTGCCACAGAGAGTCAGTACAACCCTCTGGGCTGTGGGAGAGAGATCTGCTTGGTATGAGCGTCAAACCCCTTCTGCTTAACATTTTGCTTCTGTATGTATTTAACAAAACTTAGAACAATAAAAAGGAATATGGTTGGTTGATACACAATTGGGTGTTGCCCTATGGTTAATGAATGGTTAGACAGAGGGGAATACTTAATCCTGTTAATCCTGTTGAAGTGGCACTAATCTTGTTGACATATGCACTGAGTGCTTGGAAAGAGATTATGGTATCACTATAGACAAGCTTGTATGGGGGCTAATCCTTAATGAGTCTAAATTGAAGTAATTGTTGAATGTTATTCTAATATAGGTGTTGACAGATTTTCTTAAATAAAATAGTTCAAGCCAATCTATAGGACTACGAGACATATCTCTTGTCTTATTAGATATTATGTCTGGGAGATGGGATCTTGATACCTTAGGCTAGTATTTATCTAAAAGCTTTAAATCTATTAAACTATGTAGACATAACTTTTGTCTTATTGATTAGTATGTCTGGGAGATGGGATCTTGTTACCTTAGGCTAGCATCTATCTAAAAGCTTTAAATCTATTAAACTATGTAGACATAACTTTTGTCTTATTGATTAGTATGTCTGGGAGGTGGGATCTTGTTACCTTAGGCTAGCATCTATCTAAAAGCTTTAAATCTATTAAACTATGTAGACATAACTTTTGTCTTATTGAAGAGTATGCCTAGGAGATGTGTTCTCGTTACCTGAGACTAACATCTATCTAAAAAGCTATAACTGAAACTACTGATATTTTGTATATGATGATATGTATTACTTGCTATAATTATATGAAATGTTGTATAAATGTTACACCATGATAACTCATAAAAGCACTTGTTGTGGATCTAATTATTATATGAAAACTTAGTATAAATGTTCTGTCATGATATAACCCTGGGACACCAGCAGAAGCACTGCAGTAATTGTAACAAATGCATTAGTGTAAAATTACAATGGAATTTTGGCTCTTACCTGACAAAATCATTTAGACAGGCAGCCTTGTGGTTAAAGTGTAGAATAAAAGTGATAAAACCATTTCCGTGATCAAAAGAAATGTCTGCTGAAATCAGAGTCCATTGTGTGATTCTAAATCTATCATTAGTATGTGTATATAAATCAATACCAAATAGTGATGATAAAAGTTGTTTGTAAAAAGTTGAGCATATATTGACCCAGTGGTGACAATCTTCAGAAAGAGCATGCGTGATTGTGCCCAGAAGTTGAGAAATAGGCATACATTTTTTTACCATATTTATTTCTTGTCAGTGTATTGGTTTATGTGCGAATCCCATTCATGGTGTCGTCCATGGTGATATTGCTGGAATATTCCATACTAAAAGGACTGGAAAACCATATATACTCACGTGACCAACACAACAAAAATATCCCAATGTGTTTCGACTGTTTTCCATTCAACTTGTTCCTTAAAGTGAATATTTCTTTATTAGTATTTCATGATAATAATATTTATAATGATGATAATAATAATAATAATAATGATGATAATAAGGCTATTTATATGAAGCAAAATCTACATCACTGAGGGACATGCTCAATGCGCAATGTAAGAACAGTTAGTTTGCATACCATTTCTGTTGACGTTTGATAATAACCCAACTGACTTACATTGCCATGCACGCTCCAGCTTATATTCTAGCTGCTTTTTTAACTAGCTGCATGAAAGCTTAACTGTCCTACAGAGCCTGTCATATATATCATTGTGATGATCTGAGAGCATTTGTTCCTCACAGATCTACAAATCAGAGACGTGTCAATAGTCAGCGCTTCAGTCTGATCATCATGATGCGTGTGTGCTGAGAAGCTTAATTACAGACAGAATATATAAATGTTAAGCTTTCCATACAAGTCACGATGAAATGCAACATGGTTCACACTGGCTTGAAAATAAAAGCGCCAAAACCCTTTCCAATATCATAAGAAATCTTTGCTAAAACTCTGTGAGTCCATTGTATGATTCCATCACAAACATATGCAAAGGCAAGGTAATTGTGAATCTGAAAAAACATGACAACATATAGTATAAGTCGAAATAGGAAATTGCATCAGACATAATTTGTATCACTGATGCATCAAATTTTGAAATGCCCTCCGATAATTTGAGAGTCTAGCCCATAGTTAACTCTGCTGTTAAATAAATACTTTTTCTTTTTTTTGACTGACATCATATAGAAACAGATAAGTCCTAAATCAATAAGTAACCTTGAAACACTGGTGCGTGGACTTGAATATTTTGATAGTGCATTGGGAGGGACAAATGGAGCCATTTCAACTATGAAATATAAGCGACAAAACCCTTTGCCACAAGAAATCTCTGCTAAAAGCAGAGTCGATTGTATGATAAAAGCAGAGTCGATTGTATGTCTTTGATAAAGCAAAATCGATTGTATGTCTTAATAAATCTGTTCAAAAGCACACTTTTGGTCTTCATTTGTAGCCTTGAAGAGTGTGATCATTGTCTTGAAAAGGCCTTAAAAAGGCTTAAATTTAGTGGCTAAATTTCTGAATGCGCCGTGTTAAGTGAAACAAGTATTTAGATGCCTCCAGAACATCTGGTGCCCCCGGCAACGTTCCAGCAGGAACACAGACATTGGGACAATGTGTAGGATGCAGTTGTAACTGATCCCTGAGGAATGGTCATCATTTAGTTCAGTGAAGTCACAGGAGTTTGTAATTCCCAATATGACATACATCTAGCATCTTGAACTAAAGACACAATTGTAGTATGACAGTAACTCTCGTTTAGAGTCCCTGATGACTCTATTAGCCCAACAAACAAATATTCTTGGCATATCGCATATCTACCTGGGGATATGTCATTGTTCACAAGCAGTTCCACTCAATGTCTTGGCGGAACCCAGAGCCATGTCATTGTTGGTTTAATTATTTA